TTTTATTATTATTATTATTAAATTTATTAGTTTTAATGAACATTTACAGGGATTTGGGGTTTTCATTCCTTCATTGCTGCACCGTTCTCTCTACCCTCCTCCCCAGTTTGCTCTTCTTCCCCTACCCTCCAAATGTCTGTTTTAATTGTCCAATTGGAGGGACCAGTCCTTGAAGTCATGCTTGGAAGGATGAAGGTACAGCCCAAGAGAGGAAGACCCTGAATGAGACAGATTGACACAATAATTGGGACAATGGGAATTGATGTGTCAGAGTCAGTGAGACTGGCTCAAGATACAGCAGGGATCAGAGCTGTTGTACCTAGGATCACTATGAGTCACAGGCGACTCGATGACACATACCAACAACAACAAATTGCAGTAATTCAACTTTAATCAGATGTTTGGGCAAACACTGGTGCACACTAAATATAGAGCTCAGTTGGCCCAGTGGACAGAAAGTAATGCCACCAAGCCAAAAGTGGGTGATTTTAGTCTGCAGCCCTCAGACCTAGTTTTAATTGTTTTTGGTCAAACATACTTCTAAGTGGCATAGCACTCATCTATCCATTTGCTGTACAGAGGTAACTCCTGGTGGCTGTGATGCTGAACACTGTGACACTAATGTGTCAGATGTGATAATGGTTGCCCATGGTGGACAGTATTTGGTGGAGCTCCCCAATTAAAACAAGCTTGGAAGCAGGAGTGGCATCCACTTCCAAAATAGCTTGCCTCTGGAAACCCTATAAACTTAGAGAAATGATGAAAGTTACACAAGTGTTCAGGTCTTTCATTCATAGGGTTGCTATGAGTCATCTATGACTCGATGGCACGTAACAACAACAGCAACAATCCTAGTTAATGAAGCGGAAATTAAAAACCACACATTGAACAAAGGTAAATTTTTAAACTATGCTATAAACATAGAACATACCCATCTAGTCTTACCACAAACATTTGACGAGCACAATGATGAATGAAGGAAACACTAAGAAATGCTCTAGAGATGGTTGGAAAAGCATACAAGTATGTCAAGTCAATGAATAACTATTAATTACTTAAAAATACGCTGTTTTTGTTGTGCCGTCGAATCAACTATGACTCATAGTGACCCTATGAACAACAGCTCTGAGACTTGCCTTATTCTGAGCCAACCTCACCAAACCAACACACCTTACCCCATTGTCACAGTCACTAGGCCAGTCCACCTTATCCGGGGTCTTCCTGTCCTTCTCTGATCTTCTACCCTTCCAAACATGATGTTTTTCTCTAAGGTATGGTCCCTCCTGACAACATGCTCAAAGTATGTGAGATAGAGTTTCAAAATCCTCCCTTCCAATAGGCAACTTGGTTTCACTCTCTCTGGAACAGACCAATTTATTCAATTAGCAGTCTAAGGTATGTTCAGTATTCTTCTCCAGCACAATTCAAAGACATCAATTCTACTCTGTCATCCTTATTTACTGTTCAGCTTTCAGATACATAACAAAGAATTGAGAAAAGATAAGTGGGACTAAGAATTAACTCTCATTGAATTTATAATTTATCTGGCAAACTAAGGAAGAATATTCTAACTGTATGAGCAATACCTTTTTGTTTGAACCAAAAAGATAAGAAATGCCACAAACTAGTTTAAGGAGATTTTCTAGTTTAAGAAGATTTTCTAGTTTACTCTCTTTAGGAAGTATTGCTTCTAATCCAAAGACCTCACCTCTGATTGCTCAAATCTACCAGTCTCACTAAGGGAGAAAGAGGAACAATCTCCTCTCATGTGATTTACAGCCTCAGAAACCCTAAGGAGGGTTGGTAAGAAGTCATTTCTGACTCCACAACAATGATATTTAAGATTCATTTCAAACTTGTCTACACAATAATTAAAATGTTTTTATTTGTCTATACCAGGACTGTGGTGGCTTCATGGGTAAGGAGTTGCACTGCCAACACAAAGAGAAGCAGTTCAAATCCACCATCTACTCCAAGAGAGAAGAATAGGCAGTCCCTTTCCATGTGATCTGCAGCCTCTGAAAACCCACTGGAGGGTAAGTTATGAGTAAATTCTGGCTTGATGACCATAAATAACAGCATGTTGTTTCCCCACTATCTTCTTAAGCAAGAGGCATCTATCTCATTTTGCAAATGTGCATAGGCATATCATGTAATCCATAAATCATGGGCAAGAGAGGTAACCCTTCTTTCGGCATCCTTGGAATGATGAAACAGAAACACAGATAAGCTAATAAACTTAAGGTCATGCCTGTGGCAGAGCTTAGAATAACATCCAGACGTAGTTCCCAACCCACTGTTAGGTATATTTTTTTTTTAAAGCCTTGGAATTTATTTATTTTGCAGAAAGAGAAGGACAGGAAAAATAGACTATAGTGAAAAGATACTTATGGTACATCCTTTAGTGACAATAACATTTTTGAAGGATTATTTGAACTATTTACATATTTCATACATATATCAGAGCTGTTCAGGGAGCTCTGGTGAGCTAATAGGGCTACTAACCCAAAAACGTCAAGTGTCCAAAGGCTCGAATCTACCAGTGGCTCCCAGGACAGAGTTGAGAAGTCTCCTTCCACGGTGGTGACTTACAGTCTCAGAAGCCTGATGGAGATTTCTTTAAGTCAGAATGGACTGGAGAGCAGTGAGCTGTGTTGAGTT